ACATTAAATGTATTGAACTCATTTTCCCAAGTTGCCTTGTCCCAGAGATCTACTCCCATTTCTCCAACATAATGTTTGACTTTCAAGTCTGTATGTTTAGCGATCGCTTTTGCTTGTTGGCTGGCTAATGGAACTGGAAAAAAAGGAAGAACATGTTTGCTACAAGAAGAATAGATTTCTTCTGAATTCCTCAAGATCATTTTGACTCAAGAAAGTCGAAATAACGGAACATGAAAGACTTTGATTAAGATGAATTTAAATCAGCTCTCCAGCAGGCCCCCTGGGATACACTGTTTATGTTCAATGATATAGACGATATGCTTGAATCCTGAGAATCCTTATTTTACTTAGCATTTGACAAGCATTTTCCTCGGCGAGAGAAACGTATGAAACAGCTTCAACAAGTTCCTCGGATGTCCAAACCCACTTTACATCAGCTGCATCTCAGAGATAGCTATCTCAAAGCTGCAAGGATTTCATGTTCTTCTGATGACTGGAGAAAGTATACAGTCAGTTGATAGAAACAAAGCTGTCAAAGTTATTTGTAATGCTAAACCAGAATATTTAAATGATGCTATTGACGCCAACAAGAACAATTCCAAATCAATTTATCATGTGTATTGTATGAGGGCCCCAAGTTTATTAGCCTTTTGGTCATTAAGTGCTACCCTCTTAAAATAAATAAAGAGTTTACTAGAATGTAAACCGCATCCTTGATCTTATATTCTGGTTTCTGGAAACAAAAGTTCCAATATGTCATAATCAGGTAAAAACAAAGAAAGATCTACGATCATTTCTTCTGTTTCCATTCAATTGTATCTAAAGGTATGCAACCTCTTCACAACCCCGGCCCGACCCCGCGCTGAGATGTCGTATCCACTCCCCCAAGGTAAAACCGATCTCATAAAGACAAAACATACATAGATACCTGTATTTACAAGGAAGAAAGTTCTTCGCCCGCCGCCTTTATAGTTTCCTCTTACTTCATGAGCGAGTTCTTTTATGAGCATGACACTTATAAACGTTTTGCCAGTTCCTGTGCCCAGACATACGATGGTGTTCCTTTCCTTCGCCCGCTCTAGAAGCTCTACTTGGTACGGCCGAACTGAAAAAGTTCCTACGGCCTCTCCACCTGTTTCTCTTTCGGAAGCTTCTTCCATGGTCTCTCTTATAAATATTTCAAATGACGAAAAAAAGCTTGAGTGTCAATGCAAACTACAACGTCCTACATTGGAAATCCTTTCACAATGAAGGGCGATTCAACTGGGAAATTATTTCAGACATGGTAGGTCAATGAGGAAATTATAAAAAATTTTTAAGTGATCGAATCAGGGACAACGAATCGATCGCTTGTGATCAAGAAATTGCATTCGCTAACCTGATAATTCCTCTACCAAAAGCTCAAGACTTTCTTCGACGGTAGAAAGAAACTGCTTCGCTAAGCAAAATTATTTGTTTGACAGCTTGCCTTATTTGGTTGTTTGCTTAATTAACAATATGGAGCGATTTTACTGCAGTGATTTTACTGCTTACGGAAACGCCTTCGCGTGATGAGTTTCTTGTTACACGGAGCAACACAAAATAGGCTATTGTGTCATGATTTCCTAGAAATACCTAGCATCGACTTCCGGGACAACAATAAGTACGTCAAAACAAAAGATGGTAAAAAAGATAAGAAAAACAAAAGATATGTAAATAATCCACGTGGCTGGCTTTGAATTGTAACACTTAAATCAAACAATGTCACGCGCGCTTAAAGAAAATTGTGGCACATTTGATTATGGAACTCAACCATGCATATTAATTACATGGATTGCTTTAAATATATCTTTCATTTTAAAAAGAAAGCGTCCTTTCTTTTTCGGTCCTTTGATGATGTGAGTTAGTCGGTAAGCTATTCCCTACAGTAAGAGCAAGGCAATAAGAACTTTAATATAGGAAGGCAATATGTTTTCGGGAAATTTTTGAAGCTAGAAGGCAAACTTTTGAAAGCATTTTTGCAAGGGAAACAAGATCGATCGATGTTTAATTTGGGCATACTTGAAAATTTATTCCCAAAGTTTTAGGCACTCTACTTAACTGTAAGTCCAAACGGGTGACCAGTGTTTCAGCGAACGCCTCTTTAATGTGAAGGGTTACGCCAAAAGTTTGCCATTTGGAATCTAGTTAACCTTCTCGTAACGTTACGAAATAATTTTTCCTTTTTTAAGGCAAAGGTAGTTTTACTCAGTATAAGAAGATACTCAAAGTATTAGGAAATAGCACTGCTATGAAAACGATGCATATTTATGCTGTATTTTCCTCTTCCGTGTTAGATCCATTTCGGCGAATGCATTCCAAGTGCCTGGGAAACTCTAAGAAAAGGATTGACGCCAATGACTGAGGGCTACTAATATTTAACACCCTAAAGCTGATGATCAGGTACAATAGTATGTAGTCGCCGTAACAAATTTTTAGACTTTGAAAATGTCAGCCAATTTACGTTCTCTACTCAGTCGTTAACATTAAATTACCAGCTATACTCTCCCACCAACGCAGCACCACAGTTTCGTTCGAAAATTACCCCCTTTATTCATTTGACTGACTGCTAATTTAGCTTGGGAAACGGGAGAGAAATTTTTCCAAACTGATTGATTTTCTTTTTTTCAGAATACAGTAAACATCTCACGAAGCGAACTAAATTAAAATAAATTAAAACACTGATGATGATGAAAAGTTTTAAAAGGCAAACAGGAAGTTTACGTCATACAGAGTGCCGGCTAAATTTAAAAAAAAGAAGTTTGTTATGCCATTTCTAGAGATAATTATCTGTAGTTAGATTAGAAGGACCATTGATTAAGGCAATGAATAATTCTTAAATAATTTAATGTTTTCTCTTTAAATAAAGATGAATTCTATTTGAAGGAATATGTCAGTTATAGCTACACTGATATTTATGATCACTTTAAACAACGTCAGCCTAACATCAGTATGCATATTCTCCTTACTGTCCTAAGATGCCGGCATGGAGAATTTGTCTAACAATCAAGAGCTTCTTGAGTTGATGATCAGCTCCTTTATTCTCCTGACCTTAATGTTTGATTCAGGGGTGATATGATAAGGAGAAATTATATGCCAGTTAATCTTAAGGGTTAAAGAGTTTGTGTAAACTTCTCGTCGTATTATTTAACACTAATTGAAGAAGTTTTATCCGGAGAAAAGCGTTTATCAAATTAACTTCGAACGCTTTTCAATATTGCAATATTTTCCTTAAACTTAAGCTGAAAATGGGCGTAAGTATACCTCGGTCCTGAAGTTGACACTCATTTCGTGTCATGAGCTGCTTACCTTTAAATGATAAATATGATTTTCATAAGTAACAGATAGCATAGCTTTAAGTAAATTATTCTAGAAGGCTATTAGAACAGAAAGTTATCATAACTATACCATCTGCAGTCAATAATTTAAACGTGTTTTCGTGGAATCTTAATAGGAATTAGTTTAGGAACCTTAATAATAAGCAAACCACGACGGCGACGGCATCGAGGACATGGCGGAAAGAAGGTTTAATGGGCAGGACAATAGTTCAGTACGTGCGTTTTAAGACTTTGTAAATTTCTTAGCCGTCTCCTGCAAAAGCAACGCGATATCACCAAAATAAATTTAAATTTCGTGTGGTCTGAGAACGGAAACCCCGACCGTCGGTAAAGTATTTGAGTTTCCATTTGGAACTTAACACTACTCACGTACGTTATGCTAAAGTTGAGAGGTGGCACCGTTAGGGATGATAAACACAACAAGGCATTCACGAAGGGTCCTTTCCGTTGTTTTGCAGAAGACGGCTAAAAAATGTGTTGCAAAGTTAAAAACGCACGTGCTGAACTATTGTCCTGCCCATTAGCTCTTTTTTTTTTGCCACGTCCTCGTTGCCGTCGCCGTCGTGATTTGCGAAAGTTCCTTAGTTATAAAACGAAGCCGTACTCCCCAAGACGGCAATGTATTATTTTTTCCATTTATTTCTTTATCCAAGAGGTGTATGCATAATGAATTATGTGGCTGTACGGAAATCTTGTTACTTAATGTAACAGGAAAATCAAGGTCGTCGAGAAAATTTCCCGCATTTCTCTCTTTAATGCAAACAAAAGTGACTACGTTTTTTAACCAAACGATGGTGAAAAAAGGAACATTGAGAGCAAAGTTCACGTGCGATACTGACTCAAACGCAAATCCCCTGCCTAAGAAAACGCACGAGTGAACATGTGACATTCAAACGCATTGTCTTACACTCGGATGTGCGCTGCGTTTTGAGGTGTGTACCTGAGTGAACACAACCTCAAACTTGCCGGACAACGCACGGTGAAAATGGTTTATGTTTAAAGCAAGATGGCGTCTTAGTTTCACAGTTGTTTCTGGCAAGCATTGGCAAAGAGTGTCCTGCACAGTACCTTGTGCTCACAGTACCGATGCAACACTGTGCGACGAACGGTGTGCAGACTACTAAAACAAAGAGACTTAAAACTACAAAGAGGTACGTTTCACGGTTTAGAGTAATCGGAAAAATGCACATCTAGTTTAAACAGAGATTTCTCTCAAGCTACATAAGCTTTCACTCCCTCTCACTTTGCGCAGGCGAAGTGACTATGACACTGTTAAGTATCAACGGACTGAGACGAAATGCACGTCCGCCACGTTGGCGTCCAACATCGTTATTTTAAACCAACAGATTTTCTGGGAAGTAACGAATAAAAGTCACACGGTTGATAAATAGCAGAAGCGTTAATTTTAATCAGATACATAAACCAAAATGGGGTTCTTCCTGTGAGAGCATATTTCGGTCTCTGAAGAATTTAAGCGAACATGCTCGCTTATCCTACCATGACAGCTTAGCTCACCATCTGTCACGGAGAGCGAGTAACGAAGCCATTTATAACACAAACTCAAGCAAATTCATGCTGAATAAAATTACCATTTATTACGGAATTACGCGGCATTTTTTAAAGAGTAACAACAAACAGCCCACATGAATGTAACATCAGCGCTTTTCTTTATTCTCTCATTCATGTGTAGTTATTTTACACAGGACTTTCCATTTCATTTCAGCTACACTATTTACAACTGCAACACATATCACGATTACCAAAATCGCTCTTGCATTCTTACATGTACTCTTCTTGCCACACTTAAAACTGGTAAAAAACATAAATCTTTAAAAGGAAATGCCTGATTCCTAGGAAACTAAAATTTTATCTTCATCAATTAGAAACTCATATACCAAAGCGCTGTTATGGTGAACTTTCATAGTTATTGCTGTCAGAGTTTTCTATTATTTTTTTTTTTGCGATATTTTTTACTGTTCTTTTGTTTGTTTCGATTTTTCTCTATTTTCCGTAAATTGTTAGCAACGACGCCCTGGCGCCCACAAAATAGAAAAATAGAGTCATTCAATAGATAAAAAATAAACAAAAAATATTTTGAATTGTTAGGGACGCCCACAAGTTAAAAACAAGAGTTGTCAAAAAGACAAATTGTAGATAAAAAAATATTTCAAAGCCGCATTAATAGTGCAAACGTCTCTAGACAAATGTCTACACTGTCCTCGGTGTCTGAGAAAGTCAATCACAACACTTAAGGGACGTTTGTAACACAAAGTAATCTTAAACGACTCCCATTCATTCAAGGTACGTCACCTACATAAACGTGGCTCCTAGAAAGGGATGTTCATTGTGGAAGATAATGTACAAATATTATCATAGGCACAAAAGAAATTTACTTCCTGTTACTGTAACAGTGTTCCACAGCATTATCTCAACAACACAAATCTAAGAGAGCACCTTTGCCTCAACATGCCGCAACACTGATGTCCTCCAAGCCTTCACTGAGTCTTAATCTTCCTCGTATACCGCAGTGTATTTCTTTTTCAGCCCTTCAATAGCGAGCTTGGCTGCTGTAGCTTTAGCAATCTTCATGTTCGGTCCCTTCCCATTGTACTCTCCCCAGTGCACTCTCAGAGTGCACTGGATCTTACCATCTTCAAGGGTCTTCGCTTTCCTGGAGAAAACGAAAAAAAAAAAATGAAAATCTGTTAGATTAAATCGCGCCACAACTGCAGTTCTTTGTAATCTTTCTCAATATCTCCCTATTTCAAGGGATAATGTTGACGATTTCATGTTATGCCACACTATTTTGGCACTCTACACGTGCACATGTCCATGTTTTTGGAAAGATCTGCCGCACTCGGCCACAATTACTCTAAAGACTGCTCCTGCAATCCATAGATGTTGTTCTTGGCAAAAATTCACTCTATTACGCTCTAAAATTATTAACACTTTTGGTGCAGTTAGTCAGAGACGTATGCGGGGAGAGTCAACCAACCATCAAAAATCTTAACCTTGAACTGTACACTCACCCAAAGTCAGCCTTCTCGTCTTTCTCGTAGACATGTCTGACGGGATTTCGCGGTATGTTCACCGAGTAATGGTCTGAATAAAAAACATAAATCAATCAATCTTTCTGGTGTTTTTCACCAGGTTCAGGTTCCTTGTAAACATGTCTGATGGGATTTCGCAGTATGTTCACTGAGTAATGATCTGAATTGAAAACTTCATATCAATTAATATTTGTAGTATTTTTTTCTAGGTTCGTTATTCAACTGCGTTCCTTCTCACTCTAGATTTGAGGGTTGAATGCTTCAACGCCATGCTGAGTATACTTTCTCTGACTCATTCTCACTCCTTTTCCAGCTTATTGCGAGAAAAACAACCTCGGAGCTTTCTACTAATAAGACTTTTCCCAAGAGGTGGGTGGCGATGGCCAACTTACCGATGTAGGGTTTCATCATGCGGTAGTACACACCCCAGGTTTTAGTCAAATCCATACCGCTGTCCAAAAATATCGCGCCTGCTACTGATTCAAAGATGTCACCAAGAACTTTAGGCGCCTCGATTCCTTCTTCTTCCTCTTCAGACACGATAATAAATGGGTCAGCGGTGACCTGCCAAAGACAGACTTCTAATAAATCAACTGGAGAAAATATTCGTTAACGCTTTGGTCCATGAAAATAATTAGCACTTAATTTCTCCCTATTAAAATAGCCCTGGATCACACGTTGAGAACAAAGGAAACGTCTCTATCACCAACTAAAGAGGCTCTTGATTGTTACACAAATTCTCCTTGTCAGCACTTTAGGAAATGTATGGAAGACAGAATGGAGAATAAGAAAACTGATGTAAAGGATTAAAGAATAAAGTTCACCCTACCGTTTGAAGCTGATTATCTTTCCTCTCTTCTGCCTCATCTTCCACTCTGTCAATAAAGTTCTTCACTGTTTGGAACCACTTTGGAGACATATGCTTCAGATACTTGTGGTAGTTGTGTTCTACGGCAAGGGTGGCAAAGATGTTATTGTTCACCAAGGCCTGTCGTATATCGGTCAGTTCCCCAGGTGACAAGTTGACGTGACGGAAGTACAAATGTTGCGTGACCAAAAAGTCCAGCAGGGCATCGCCGAGGAACTCGAGTCTTTCATAACTTGGCGTGACACGGTTTTCGTGGTAAGACGCATGAGTTAGTGCCTCTACCAAATACAACTTTTGTTGGAAAGTGTACGAGATTGATTCGTTTTCAAAGTTTTCCAGGCCAGAAGTGAGGCGGAAAACCATATCTCCTTTACCTTGCGCAACTGTTATTTTTGTCTGATCTGGCCAAAATCTAGCATAGCAACCCGATTTGCTATTCTCCGCCTGCAAATCATTGCCGTCGTTGGTGCCAATTTCAGGTAAAACTTTTAGCCCCAGAAACTTCATAAATCGCAACGCACCAAGGTAACCACAGGATATTAAATACGCTCCGATCAGTCCTTCGATGCTGTCAGCTATGGACTTGTCCGCAATCTTTTGAGTGTTGCATTTCTGGCGCGCATGCTCTGTAGCAGTAAGTTTTGTCTCCTTTCCCCTCTCTAAGGTCTCGTCAACTTCCATTGCCTCGACTGTGTCCCCGCTGTCAACTTCCATGGCTGGGCTACCTGTGGTGCGATTCGGTGGTACGTCGCCAAACTGACATCCCGTAGGACACCAAACGTTGCGAGCCAACTGCGTGCTCTGGAGATACTCGCCCAGAGATTTCTTGGCCGCTGCTCGGTACAACGCTAAATTACTAATCTGGTTTTTCTTACGCCGGGTCAGCTTGCCTTCGTCTTTATCGCTGTATGTGCAGAAGAGATGAATGGACACGGCCAGCTTCAGAAATGAGTCCCCAAGCATCTCCAGCCTCTCCAGATTAAATGCATCTACGCTGTGGGTGGTGGTAATAGCTTGAAGAACGAGAAAGGAGTCGGGGTGGTTAGCAGATGGTGGACTGTAACGGAACATTGACCTGATGTCGGAGAAAAGTGCATCCTCGTCTTCCAGGTCCAAAGCATCGCCTTCAACCTCCATGGACGCCTCTCTTGAGCCCTCTTCAGCTCCAATGGGAGGGAAAATTGATTCATCTGTTGTGTCGCGTACATCAGCAACCATGGCCTTGAGATCAGCAACGAGAAGGAGGGAGTTGATACGCTGAAGAATAGATGGTAGAATCTGAGACACGCTAAGAAGAGAAGCGCGAATGGGAATCTGGTCACACAACTCTGGAACAAGACAAATCACACCGCGCTTGTTTTTTGTTCCTTGTTTTCGGTCTACTAGAAAATTCACTCTAGCGGAGAGCTCTTTCACTTCGACAAGTGGTTGATGCTTGTTCGCAATGCATCCCCTTTCTCCGTATTTCAGGCGAAAATATTCTTCATAAGTGTTACCCTGCGACTTTTCCGGGAACGGAGACATCGGAGTCAGATCGCCACGAATTTTCAAAACAGCATACTTTTGTGGAGATTCAACGTAGTTTTTTGTTACCGCTAAGTCTACGACGATGGGCTGATTTACACGGCTTTGTTTGGGTGAATGCGAAAGCTCCTCTCTCATGCGATCAAAGTCAATACTCCTTCCTGAAGCCTTCAACATAACAATGAAGTAACCATCCACACTTCCTGGCACGAATTCCACAGGAGAGCGTAGAACGTGAGTGAAGAGAAAGAGATGAAAATCGCGAAGAATGTCCAACTCTTGTTTAGTGATGTTTACACGCAAAGGAGATCTGTGACACTGCAAGGATACCGTGACTTCGCCATAGTTAGGATACAGTTTGAACGATCGTATCTGAAGAGTGAAAAAATTGCATTGTAAGATGAAGGTCAACATTTGTGGTTTGTGAGACCGGTTAAAGTGGTACATGCTGCAATCGTGGACCTTTAGAAGCCAATGAGTTAAATGAAAACAACCAAACTGTCTAAAGCGCGGGAAAACGCAGGCGACCAAGTCGTGATTGGTTTTAGTTTTGCAGCTGATTGGCTGAAAGAAAGGTGCAAGCTTTTTGGACCAATCACAGAGCGACACTAGATTGAAAATTGGCCTACAGAATTAGGTTGCCTGATAAATAATGAAATATTAATAATCAAGTACCAACCCAAGGAATTCTTTTCGTTGTCAGCATTCCAAACGTGCAAGTTTCATTGAGGAACAGCCGCTCACTAACGACAAACTCTTGTGGCTGAGTAAGTTTAGTGACTTGTATGGTGATGGTCGTGAGGAACTGAGGCTGACCTTCCTGTACCAAGCTGCCGACAAATGCTTCAGGAACCTGGGCAAGAACAAAACATCAGGTAAAGAAGGTGTAAATATTTGTCAAGAGCGTGAAGCGAAGGTGAAACTTGAGTTCAACGTGAGGATTCGAACACTGGTTTCATGATCACTTAATCACAGCGTTTTAGAAGCGAATAACGTGTTTTTTAAAGCTCAAAAAAATTGGTAAATCAACAGCATACCCAAACTTGAATAAGCTTAGGGAATGGTAGCCAAATTCATGCTTACACGACATTGTATTGAGATATATAAGTTAACAGTTTAATGAGTAAGTCACAGGCCAAAATTGTGAAATTCAACTGCTTACCTTTCTCTTGTACCGTCGTCTTCTCTTCTTTGTTCCAGCTTTTGGTTTTTTTCCGCCGGACTCAGCTGCTGCTTCTTCTTCCAAATCACTTTCCTCGTCAGATAAAGTCCGCTTTGGTAACAGGTCATCATCAAGCTCACCAATCTTGTGAAGCAGTTCACAGGCTTTGAGCGCGGCTGCCATCTTGGCTTGGTTCTTACTCAGCATTGGTTCACCCTGATGAAATGCAGACATAGATGGTTCTCAAGTAAGCGATTAACATGGAATTTCTCCTTGCAATTCCAATATGTTAAATGGCGAACAGGTGACGAGAATATATAAGTTCATCAGCGTTAGGGTGTTGTCTTAATGTGACACCATATTGTCCTCTCCAATTTACAAGGAAATTTACAGCGGTTAGTCAGGAGAGTTATTTTTAGAATTTTGGAGAATTACAGGGTTAATTTCCAAGAGCTAACAAACTGCTTGAAACTTAGCACAGAGAATTAGAGCAATGTTGAATTGAGAGACACAAAATCACAACCAAAGTACCAATAACGTAATTTTGTAATTTAATTTATTTAGCTTCGCCCAATCATCTCAGGCATGGAGACCACTACAGCTTTAGCCAATAACAGTGGATCCCGCGTTAACAATGACAAGGGCAGACCCCCCCTCCCCCCCAATTCCCAGTAAACTGGCCAGCCACATCACAGTAATCTCGTGAGTGGGTTCTTTAACGTCCCCTGCCTGACCAAATTGACTAATTAATAGAGGTAGGAGACGGGACCTACAGTTTATTCGTCCTTATCTGAGAAGACTAGAATGTCTATCCATTTCTTGACATTATAGAAAGGTAGCAAATTCTCCTTAGTTATTTTAAGACCTTGAGTGTTGGTCTGGTTGGGGCTTGAACCTTCGACCTCCCACACAACAGTCCAGAGCTCTAACCAATTGAGCTAACCGGGAGGCAGTTACGTAACAAATCAGAAGGCAGATAAACAGTATCAATAGCCAATGATAATGACAGTGGAAATAGGCAAATTTCCATAATAACAATTTTATGTCTTAGTATAAAAATAATAAAAGTCCTCTAAACTCACTATTATATCATCACGTAGTTGACAGTTTATTGGGAGTGTTAGTTTACACCTGTAAAGATATTTCCCAATTTCCTCAACCTTGTAAACTGGCTTGGGCTGAGTAAAACGGTCTCCTGGGAGCTTTGAACAGTACCTGAAAAGACAAAAGTAGAAATATTGGTATTATTCTAGTTTTATAAAGCTTGTAATTTTAAGTAATTGGTCGTCTCCATATTAAGTATAAGTATATTCTATACCCCTGATTTAAAATTTAAAAGGGCATAACTTTATTTAGATGTGGTGTAAGAGCTTTTAAAGAGGCAGTGTACTCCCTTATTTTCAACGTGACAGGTAAAAATAATTATCAAATTGGTAGACTTGTCCTAACCTGCTGAATTTTCATGAATTCCAAGTGATTTCAGTGAAAGATAAGAGGTAATACGAGCGATTTTGAGGTTTGTAGGGAAGCAAACAGCCAGCTTTACAGCAATACTCATAGTTAATAGAAATCACCCCTTTTCACAATCAGTGCCCAAGTTTGTTACCCCATATATGGCACATCTTCCCTTTTTACAACCACATTACTTAACAATAAACAAGTCAACCAATTATCTCAAATTTACAACACAATTCAAAGTTAATAAATTCTTTGCACTTACTTTGAAAGTAGAGCAACACTACTGGTCATTGTTACTCTTGCTCCCTTTCCATTTACTGGTATGTACGGTGGCAGTAAATCTGTGTCTACTGACTCATTACACTCCTCCACTGATGGCTCCAGCCGATCATGGCATCTTTCCAACAAGATTTCCTCAATAGCACGCAACATCTAGGGAATAAGTCATGAACATTAAGAAGAAGAAGAATTAACATTCCTTACAATAATTCAACCAGGTTATGAATTTATTTATGATATTTAAACCAGCTTTCACAGTTCAGCTTAAAGCTGCTTTAAAAGGCAGCCTGTGTAAAAAATCTAAAGGCCAGACTATAACAATGACATCTATGTTCCCTATTCTTTGCAAGAAATGCATGGGTTCTTTAACGTCCCCTGCTAACCAGTAGAGAGGAGAAACAGAAGACGGGGCTTGTGGCTTACTATCCCTATACAAGTTGACCAGAATGTCTAACTGTTTGCAGATGTCTTAACAAAGGCAGCACAGTCCTCAGTTATTCTAGGACCCTGAGTGTTGGTCGGCAGTCTGGGGTTCAAACCTTCTATCATCCACACAGCAGTCTGGTGCTCTGTATCCTCAGCTAAACATTATCAATGACAATCACCAGAGTAGGTATGGATTATTACTGACTTTATTACTTTAAAATATGTACCTCCAATTCATTCTCTTTTTCCACTTGCTCCTTTTCATCCACCAGCATGTAGTACTTGGAACCTTTGGCACGAGCTCTGCCCTTTGACTGTACATAGGAACGATAATTCTTTGGGAAATCAAACCTGCAGACAACATTGCACTTGGGAATATCTAATCCCTCCTCAACAACAGAGGTGGCTATCAGCACATTGAATTCATGTCTTTTCTTGTCATTTCTGAACTTGCGCAGCACTTCCTCCTGTTTCTTAAAATTCATCTCTGTGTTACTGGAGTAGCTAACCCTTGCACCTGTGCCGTGACCAATCACAAAGTCACTTTTGATGAATGAGAGCTCATGATCTAGTTCGGCTGCCTTGTTAAGCTGTTTGCTGAGGATTAGTGCTGTGTATCGTCTTTCAACAAACACAATGGCACAGAGGGTCTTCTCCTCTTCAGATGCTGCAAAATAACCAAACTGAGGATCACCAAGCTGTTTTGCAGAGTAACATCCAAAATCACCCTTGAAACAAATTTCAAGAAAGAGCCAATTTTAAAGCTGGTTATTTAGTGTGTATGGATTGACAAAAAAAACAAAAGTAAACATAAAAGATTATTCTTATTAATATTACTTTTAACAATTGGCTAAATCTTCCTTAAGGTGAAGCTGGGTAGCAGATGTAGCCATGTTTAATATTTTTGTCCCCGTGATTTGTTCCTCAACCACGATGTTGTTCCTCACATTTCTTGGTGGAATGAGGAGATGGCTACTGAATATTGATCTCCCCCTGAGAGATTATTATAGTTGTTGTTATCATAATTATCATTTTTATTGTTGTTAAATTTCCTACTAATAGTATAATGATTGTAATCAATTTGGCCCTGTCACTATCATCAATATTTTTATTACTAGCACCACTATTATTATTCCATTTCACCTCTCACTGCTAAGAGCAAACCAAAACAAATTTCTCCTCACAATAACATTACAATTCAAAATATGCAGGAGCTGAGAGGAAAGAAAAATCATGTCAGTGGATATTTTGAAATTTAACACAAAGTCTCGTGGTTAAAATTTTAAGAAGGTTTGGCACACAACCAGGAGAGATCTTAGAAAAGAAAATGTCAAATTGTGATAAGAAGTGCAAAAATATCCACTTTGCTAATCTTCTGTTTTGGTTATCACTGAGGAAATGAAATATCAGTTCCATAAATAAAGCAGTCAGCAGAGTATTCCTTACCATGCTGTGAGTTAGCAAATTCTCTGAAAACACTCAGAAGTGTTTGAAGTTTAGGCATGAAGTAACAATGTCCACTGTCCTCAGACCCATCACTTTCAGTAAAATTACAATAAATGCCCCGCAGTTGAAGCAGCTGGGTGGCACTAAACTCGTAAAACAATCGCCCTTGTTTGCTGCTTTGAACCTTGCATGCTCTGTCTAGAAGGAAAGATTCCGATTTATAAGTGTATTCCATTCCAGTTGATCAAAAGATGCCAACAAAGGCATTTTTATCCAATCCCAGGTTAATTTTGCTTGAATTGGAATAATTTGGTATTATGAGCTGAGGATTTGGCACACTGATTCGTTTCTAATAAACATTAAGTCAACATCTGTCATGTAGGCTAAACTCTTCAACTCTCTGAGTGACTGCATCTAACTTCTCCTAACAGGATCACCCAAGAATCAATCAACCATTAGGGTATCAAGATTAAAGGAAATGATCACCAACTAAAGAAGCTCTTGATTGTTAAGCAAATTCTCCTTGTCAGCACCTTAAGAAATGTGTAGAGAACAGTATGGAGAATATGTATACTGATGTTAGGGTGTAAAGAGTTAAAGCAAAATTTTAAAAAAACCTATAAAACCAAAATTTTTGGAAATGGAGTCATGAGATTTTTCCCTTCTTTTTGGATAATATTTATGATATTTGGTTCGCGTTGACCGTATTATGATTTTTCGAAAACTTGACTGAAACTTTGGGCACAGTTACGTCAGTTCCCCTTAAAACTGAAACAGTACCATACCTAGATCCTTGATTAGGTATTCTGCTACTTTAAAAGCAGCCCAAGGGCCCAGTTCATCCAATGTCTCCTTACACTCTCTCAGAGCGAACTTCGCGTACCAGTGTGCATTCTCGTCAATTTCGGACACCCGACAGTCGCGGAGAAAACCAATTCCTGGTTTTAAGACATCTGACAGGATTTGGATCAAAATGTTTACATTTTCATCAGTGCTCTGGCTCTTGTAAACAAGGACCAGTTCTTCGGGTTTAGCAGCATATTTTTCAACATCTTCGTCTTGACTTGTTTCGCATGTAGATCTTAATGTGCGTTCCAGCTCTTGGATCTCCGATTCAATTTTATAAGGTTTTACCTTTCCATTTACTATCGAGGCAGTTAAACCCATAATTTTGGGTAATGGGCGCTGTGGGCAATCGCTGAAGCACTGCATTATCTGTCTGTAAGGATCATTCTTCTTGGCACGGTGGCATTCATCAAAGATCAAGAGATTCACTTGCGAGAGAAGTATGTAGCTATGCAACAGAAGGTCGAGGAATATTTGAGCTGTCATGACCAGAACGTTGCTTGTATTGAACTCGTTTTCCCAAGTGGGCTTGTCCCAGTAATCTACTCCCATCTCTCCAACGTAATGTTTGACTTTCAAGTCTGTATGATTAGCGATCGCTTTTGCTTGTTGGCTGGCCAGTGGAACTGGAAAAAAAGGAAGAACATGTTAGTTAAAAGTGGATGAGATTTTGTAGGTGATCCTCAACATTCTTTTAACTCAAGGGGTACAAATTTAAACCACATTCTTGATCTTATATTTTAGTTTATGGCAAGGAAAGTTGAGATATCATACCCCGCGCTGAGATATCGTACCCCCTCCTCCACGGTAAAGCCGATCTCAAACACACAAAACATACATAACTACCTGTATTTACAAGGAAGAAAGTTCTTTGCCCGCCGTCTTTATAGTTTCCTCTTACTTCATGAGCGAGTTCTTTTATGAGCATGACACTTATAAACGTTTTGCCAGTTCCCGTGCCCAGACATACGATGGTGTTCCTTTCCTTCGCCCGCTCTAGAAGTTCCACTTGGTACGGCCGAGCTGAAAAATGTTCTATGGCTTCTCCACCTGTTTCGCTTTCGGAAGCCTTTTCCATGGTGTAACCTATTAAAATTTCAAATGATTACAAAAAGCTTGAGTGTCAATGCAAAGCCCTAAATTGTAATCCCCTTCAGAATGAAGGACGATTCAATTGGGAAATTATTTCAGACACGGTAGGTCAAAAAGCAAATTATAAAAATTAAAAAGTGATCGAAACAAGGACAAACAATCGATCGCTTTTGATCAAGAAATGGCATTCGCTACCCTGATAATTTCCTCACCAAAATCTCAAAACTTTCTTCAACGGTAGAATATTCTTAACTAGACCCTGTGAGCAGGGTAACTGGGATACCTGGATGGTACTGGATCCTTGCAATCAAGTGTAGTGATACTACGGGTGTCGGATTAGTATACTGAAATAGTGAGCTCAAGTCTGGCTAAGGACATACACCTATTTCAAAACATAG